TGACCAGATTCTGCCCTCAGGAACACTGGGCTCCTCCCCAAGACCAGTGGCCCTTGTTGAATATCACTGTTGCCTGAGGTGATGATGAGTTTTGGCAAACAACACAACCAAACCAAAACAAAAAAGGGGCTTTTGTGAGCTGGGACACAGTCTGAGCCTCCTGAAAGGCTTTGTGTCCCTCCCTCAAGGACCCATGAGTCTCTAAGCTTCATCTCTAGCTGACTGCAAACTCTGGAAGTGGAGGCTAAGACAGTGGTAAATGGCCTGGAGCGTGTGAAGATGTGCTTCAAAAAGCACCCAGAGCCGCTTGGCAAAGTCTTTATTCTTAGCCCTATGTGGTTTGCGAGTTTCTGCTCAGAGCTCTATAACCAGCTAATGACTGGATAGAGATTTTTTTAAATGCCAGAAATTTGTTTAGGAAAAACCACTAAACAAATTGGTGGCAAATGCCTAGGGGAGGGGAGGAACCTGATTTACAGAACTGCTACACAGTATTCACAATCTCTAGTTTTGAACAATGCCAACAGCAGTCAAAAAAAAAAAGAAAGAAAAAAAAGAAAAGGAGAAGACTTGCAAAGAACAGAAAGTATGGCGCATCCACAGTAAAAGATAGCAAGCAATAAAAGCTGTCCTTGTGGAAGGCCAGATGTTGGTCTTAAAGAGGTTATAGAAATAGAATAAAAACATCACACGATGTGTTCTTTGTAAGAAGTACACTTTAGATTCAAACACAGAAATGTTGAGAGTTAAGGAATGGAGAAAGATGTGTCGTGCCCATCCCTAACTGAACAGTACTGGGACTATACTAGTACCAAAGAGTACTAGCATAGCTGTGCTCATACCAACAAAACAGACTTTGAGACACATTTATTAAATGACAAAGTAGGACTTTTATAATAATAATAGGGTCAGTCCAAGAGGGTGTAATAATTCTAATCAATACAAGCAATGTTCCATTGTTGTAATAAAATGAGAATTATAATCTTGGTTTTTGCCCTGGGACAAAGAAAGCTTTGTAGTTTCATCTTTGTAGATAAGGGACCCTTGAAGAATCTTTTGATCTTTGACCCCAGTTTCTAACACACTGCTCCTAAATCCCTTCAGATTTCCTGGGTGATAGGAACACGTTTTATTCTAAGGAGAAATTCTTTGCTGACTACTGGATAGCTTCTGGATGTGAGCTGATTGCCAAGGGAACCAACCATGCCAGTAGAGATCCGAAGTTCAATCCTCCCGACACACACACACACACACACACACACACACACACACACACCCTCTGGGAAGGGAAGAATGTCTGATGGTTGACTAACTGCCAAGGGCCAGGGATTTTTCAGTCACACATACATAATGAAGCCTGTGTAAAACCCCACAAGAACAATTGGTAGAGACTCCAGGATGGCAGAAACAGCTACATGTCAGAAGGGTAGGCACCTTGACTCTACAGGGACAGAAGCCACTGTATTGGGGACTCTTTCAGATCTCATTATTCCTGCGTTCTCTTTGTAGTATTCTGTACAAGAGGAGGCATTTCCTTGAGTTCTGTGAGTCATCCTGCAAATTAATCAAACCTGAGGAAGGAGTCAAGGGAACCTCTGTTTACATTTGGTCAGCCAGAAGTGTAGGTGACAACCTATTACTTGGCAATTGGCATTTGAAATGGTGGGGGAGAAGGCACTTTTGTGAGACTAAACTGTTAACTTGTTAACCTGTTAACCTTTCTTTGTTCTATCATAGGAAGCAATTCCTCTTTTTGTTAAAGCTTTATCTTGAGATGATAGCAGTTCATCTTGAGATTTCGCTTTTCCTTCTCTTGCTATTCTGCTACATCTGCAGATACCTCCTCCACCGAGGTCTCCAGCCCCTCACAGTCCTCCATGAGGGTTGCAATCAGTGTTTTCCAAATTCCTGTTAATGTTGAGATTTTAATCTCCTCCCATAAATCACAGATGTTCCTAGTAGCATCTAGAGTGGTGAATAGTTTCCAGAGGTTTTCATTTTGTTTTGCCTAGATCCATCAGAGGAATCAGTATTTTCTTTCATTTTATCTCCTTGTGCTAATATATTTAGTCTGCTTTTACATTAAAGTTTATTTTCAAAGTATTTTTATTTTTATTTTTTAGTACCGGCGATCAAACTCAGGACCTTGCACTTACAAGGCAGGCAGCAGCACCACTGAGCTAAATCCCCAGCCCAAAAGTGTGTTTTTGTGTGTTAAGCTTGTATACTTAGAAGTCTCTTTTACTTTTTCAATTCTTATATGTAGTAAAAATTGATATAAAGTTTTTTATTTTTTATAAGATTTCAGGAACTAATGTTTTCTGTTAGAATGGTTTACATGTAATGATTATTACTAATACTGAATTGAAAATCAGACAATGTTATAAGTGTTTAAATTTCTCAGATTATATATCAAAACTATTTTGATGATTAACTGATGATTAAGTTGATTAGGTTAGGTTGTTTTTGATTTTGTTAAAAGCTAAGAATTGGAGAGGAATTTGTTATCAAGTGGTTGTTCACTCATTTTCCCAAATCGCTGGAACATGTTAAAAAGAACTCTTGCCAAGCCATATCGAGGTGATTTGATTATACTTATTACTTTTTATCTTCAGTCACCATGCTGCAGTTGATACACTTGAAAAAGCTTGGGAGAATTGAATTTTTGTCTTTCTCAATATGCTGATACAAAACAATATTTTTCATTAGGTTCCATCAGTGCTTTTAATAAACATTCATCAGAACGTTGGAACTGCAGGTTTAACTTGTGGAGTATCTTTCAAACAATTAATTGGCAAGATCAATTCTCAGTATTAAACCATGTGTCCAGTGTTTGATATAAAATCTGTACCTTCCTTGTGGATTTTTTTTTTTTATTGAGTTTATTGGTACATTTAGGGATACAGTACAGTTACATTCATTGTTGGGATCATGTACCTTTACATGGCAAGTCTTGATTCTCATTTTTTTCCCCTTACCTCTGCCCTCCCTTCACCCCCTCCTCCCCTCCCCATCTACAAACACTTTATTTTCATCTTTTCATTCTCTCACATTTTTTTCTTTTCCCTTTTTGTTCTTCCCCTACGTATCACACCTTCCCTACACCTTTAGCTCCTTTCCTCCCATTTCTAAATGTCAGTAATCTTATTAGAATCTTATGCATTGTTGCAGAATATTCACACCAGGGAAACTATTTGGTATTTACA